TAACTACTGCGCTGTGAATCACTGAAGCTATTTGCCTTCATTGTGAACTTTACACACGGATTCAGTCAATTGTGTATCAATAAGAGTATAGCAGCTGATACATTTGTGGGTGGGTGTGTGTGTGTGCGAGTTCATATGTTTTCTGTGCTTTTATTCATTTTCTTCATTTGTGCTTAATCCATTGTTTTGTGTGTTTTATTTGGGCTTCCTGTGGGAAGTTTATTCTTTTGCGTAAGTTTAAATTGAGATTATTATTATTATTATTATTATTATTATTATTAGTGGTAGTATTAGTAGTAGTATTTGAGTTTTTCTCCTCTTGTAAGAAGATATTTTTATTAATGTATTTGTTTGGGGATTCCTGTCTTTTGTGTGAGATTGTGAGTTGTGAATTGTGTACAATTGTTAATTGTACTTTTTTTGCATTGTGGGAGTTAAGGCTCCCAGGCAGGCCAAAAGTTGTCCCTTGTGTGCGGTGGTGGGATACAACACGGAGTGCAGTGTGTGTTGTGTGCTCGTGTATGCTTGTGTACGGTGCACTTTCGGTAAAACCATTTGTATTTTAGCGGAGTTTTGTGCTACGTAACTAGTTTACCGGCCACCTGTGAGCCTCTAACTCCTCCCATTGTCATTGTTGTTTCTTGACGTGACTGTGCTGCTACTATTGGCGATTAAGCTTTTAAAAGAGATTTTTATATTGGATGATTAAGGAAAATAACGTTTTGTATTTTTTGGTATTCACGTCTCATGCCTTTTCCTTACACCAAGAACCTGTGGTAAATTCTCTGTGATCAGGATGGCGTAGTCGGCTTTAGTTTAGTATTCATTTTCTCCCAACTTACCGTTCCGCTACATTAGCAATAAAAAAAATGTTATAATAGAGGCCGATGGAGAAAAAACAGCAATAAATTTAATGAAAAGGGAGTAAGTTTGCCCAGAGTGTACTGAGTTTTTCTTTTGTTTTTAAGCATTTTCCCAGATTATGTCAAAATAAGATGTCCCCAAATATCAGTCCATTCAGCTGTTTGTTCAGCTGCTACCACAGAACTTTTTTTCTGATGTGTTTACCGGTCAGGCACAGAATAAACAAGTATTCACTGTCTGCTTTACAAATTTTAGAAAAACATTTTGCTGTAATTGTGAATATATACAAATAAAAATAGGCCATTTACAAAAATGTGTCTTATCCATATGACCAAAATGACTTTTATAATCAATTATGTAAGAAACTTTGAAAACTGGACTGATAGTTTCAATTTGCTAAAACTTCTATGTTAAAGAGCATATTGTAGGTTAGCCACCCCAGTGAGACAATGTGTGTATTGTGTAAGAGTAAAGTAGGAACTAGATTGTCTTTTAAAAATATGTTAAAGTTTATTATTAAGCCGTTTGGAGTCGTTTTTAGTCACGGAAATCTACTTCCGCATCTGAAAACTTTCCAGACCGGAAGTGACGTCGGATGAGGGAGTCCGCGCAAATAACAGTATGAAGACAACTGATCGCGGTGCGCGTTTGGTTGCCGAGATGAGGTATTCTGAAAAAACTCACACAAACGACGGACCACAGCCATACAATTATAAGCCTGTGGACAGACCAGCAGACAGAACAGCAGTCAGAGAAGTGTAATTTAACTCTATTGCAGGGGTCTCAAACTCGCGGCCCGCGGGCCATTTGCGGCCCTCAGTGCAATATTTTGTAGCCCGCGTTGACCGCTGTACACTGACAGAATCAGCGGAGTGGGGAGAGAGAGCGCTCCCCGCTCCGCTGATTCTATCCGTACACAGCGGTCACTGGCATTCCCCGCCCGCCGTGTAAACAAAGGGGCGGGGATGCCGGTGACGTCACCAAGCACCCCGCCCCTTTGTTAGACGCTGTGACGGGCGGGAAGTGTTGATTTATACTTCTGCGTCAAACACCGGCGTAGGCTACGGCGCTGACGCATAGCCCTTCGCCGTGGCCGTCGCCGTCACTGACGTGCACCTCTCAAAAATTGTAACTACACGTCGCAACGACGCGTAGCGCAAGCTCTTATGATTGGTCGGCTTGCTAGCGCCGATGAGTCTGGGCGTGACCGAGAGCCGCGAGAATGGCGCGAGCGATTGTTTACAAGTGTGGAGTCCCGTGAAGGAGCTCCGGATGGAAAGTTTTGTTCTGTGTTTACCTCATGGTAAAAGTTGTTGCACGTCCACCGGTTCTTGCCTCAAAATGAGCGAGTTTGAGTCACTTGTACATCCAGGAAGTGTTCAGCAAAACAGAAGCGAAGAAACTCGACACAGAGGAACATTTACACCTCACTGCCCACTAGCGTTTCGGAAGTGTTAATGCAAATCAACAGAGATAGCGCTCAGAAGTATAAATGCACAGCTGCGCGCGTTGCCTGCGCCGTGAGTTGCGCCGGTGACTTGACGCAGAAGTATAAACCAGGCAGGGAGCGAACTCGCGCCGGCCAGAACCAAAGTAAGCTGTTCCCGCCCCTGCCTGCCACTTAGCTATCTATCTGCAGCCTGCCACCTACCTAGCTACAGCCTGCATCTTATATATATTATAGGTAGATACAGACTGGTACAGACTGATGTGACTGGAGTGGGGTGGGGGTGTTTTATTTATACATATATATATATACATATACATATATAAGATTTGTGAGAAGAAGCGCTGTCAAGTCTCTGGCCGCAAGAAGTAGGCAAAAGATGCCATGTTCAGAAGAACTGTTCATAATCTTCACTCAATGTTTTATTAATGTTCAGGACACTTCATGTTCAGAAGAAATAATTAAAACTGGTAATAATGACATTTGAGGACTTTTTTTTGTGAAATCCCTTATGCGGCCCAGCCTCACCCAGACTTTGCCTCCTGCGGCCCCCAGGTAAATTGAGTTTGAGACCCCTGCTCTATTGTGAGGAGAACAGCGCAGGTTCATGGTAAGACTAGTGTTGGCTTACAGAGAGATATGCATGATAACGAAATCTTTTCTGGCAATAGCAAAGCTAGTATTGATCATCTAAAAATATTAATACTTACCAGTAACAGACACTAATGAGCATTTAACAAAGTTATGTCACATAAGCAGTGATAATACCTGCATTTTTACTATTTACATATGTATAAGTATCTGTGTGAGTGTGTGTGTACTGAAAGGAAAATATATCATCTGACCCATTTAAAAGTAAACCTAAAATTATTTTAGTTGGCCAACGTTTATGTGGGTACCACACCATCATGTCTTTAATGTGTGTTAAATTGTGAATGCTGTGTAAAAAGATGCTGACAGCCTCATCCTTGTAAACCCGCTGGAAGGATCTAGAAAGGAGAGCAAATGTAGTGGCCACTTCTGCATTCTTGTCGAGCCTGTGATGACCTCCAGTAGTCCACCGTCAGACACGCAGTGAGGGCTGATGCATATATTCTGGGGAAATCATGCAAAAGTTTAATAATGTTTAATAATAATGTATATTTTAAAATTCACCATATGATTTTTAATATAACATAATACAGAAAACCCAGCCACATTTGCAGACCCCTGGATAGTGAACTGCCAACCATCTTGCATATACAGTAGACTGTACCCATTATAAGTTGAGCATGTGAATACAATACAAGCTAGCAGCAGTGCTAGGCTACTTCAAAGTAAACACGTCGTGTTGCTTCAAATTACTCAAATAATCATGCTTACAGACTTAAATGTTGCCAAACATAAACGAAAAACGAGTTGTCTTACCGTGTACAGCTCTCGTTTTCATCGAGTTGCATCTCCAACTGATCCAGGAGTGTTTCTCACCGTTTGTGTCAGCTATAAGTCTTATCAGATTCATCCCATTTCACGAACCAAAATAGAGACAGGAAACTTGTGGACTTGATCTGTTGACATGCTGGAGTTAGTGCAGTTCCCATAAACGCAATAACATAGCATGATGTAGAGGTCTGCATTCCTGCGGCTGTCCTGCGGGAGTCGCGGGACCCGACCAGATTTCTGCGGCGTGGGAATAAATTTTTAAATAAAGCGCGGGAGCGGTCTGTAACGGGTTTGATTTGAGACTGGAGCAGGCCGTCTAGCGATATCGCTCCCGACTCCCGAGCGAGCTATTTTATGTATGTGTGTAAATGAAATAGCATGATTCTGTGTTTAGCTTGTGTGTGTGTGTGTGTGTGTTAGTGCGAATGAGAGAAATAGAGCTTTGTCTGTGTTTGTGTGTTTATACAGACAGCTTGTTATAGGCTGTCTGGACTCTATATAGCTGGGTTGTTTTTGGTTTTGTTCTCCCCCCGCTCTTTAGCAGGATCGGGCATGGCGGTTTGAAAAGGGGGCAGGGCGGGCAGCAGGACAACAAATGCTGAATATAAGCGGGAGCGGTCGGGTTCGGGCTAAAACCTGGCGGGATTCAAAATTTTGTCCCGTGCAGATCTCTAGCACGATGATGATAAATTACGCCAAAACTAACAGCCATTTCTGCTATTAGCTCCTCTGCCCCACTGTAATCAGCGCGCGTCTGTCAGATAACTCACTCTTCTGAAGTCACCGGGACTTTCCGGAAGTGGGAAAACAGACACATTTTCAAACGATTCTACCTTTTTTGAAAGTTTTTTTAACCTACAATATGCTCTTTAAGCAACTTTGGCACAATTTACATTGTAAAAGCACTAGATAAATAAAGATGAATTGAATTAAATATGCTTAAATGTGGAACAAACACAATATGACCTGATTTATTTTACAAATTAATGTGCATCAAAATTACAGTGTGTGTAGCCAATGTTTCCAGTGTCTTTTCACTTTTCAGCTTTTGATGAAAGTTTTTAAGACTTAATGAAAACTAATGTTTTTTTTATTATTTTATTTATTTCAGGCCTAATTGAAGAGAATAAGGGGAGTAAAGAGGAGAAACATCATGTCAAAATTGAGGGAAAAACACATTTACAGACTGATGGTATTTTAAAAAGGAGAGACAGTAATCCTTTCATCTGCACCTGCACTCAGTGTGGAAAGAGTTTTGGAAAAAAAGGCAATCTTAAGATTCACATGAGGATCCACACTGGAGAGAAACCATTCACATGCACTCAGTGTGGGAAGAGTTTCAGCATATCATCATCTCTTAATCAACACATGAGGATCCACACTAGAGAGAAACCATTCACATGCACTCCGTGTGGGAAGAGTTTTAGCCTATCATCAAACCTTATTAAACACATGAGGATCCACACTGGAAAGAAACCATTTACATGCACTCAGTGTGGGAAGAGTTTTGGCCTATCTTCAAACCTTATTAAACACATGATGATCCACACTGGAGAGAAACCATTCACTTGCACTCATTGTGGGAAGAGTTTCAGCCAATCATCACACCTTAATCTACACATGAGGATCCACACTGGAGAGAAACCATTCACATGCACTCAGTGTGGGAAGAGTTTTAACTCCTCATCACACCTTAATCGACACATGAGGATCCACACTGGAGAGAAACCATTTACTTGCACTCAGTGTGGGAAGAGTTTTAACTGCTCATCACACCTTAATAAACACATGAGGATCCACACTGGAGAGAAACCTTACACATGCACTCAGTGTGGGAAGAGTTTCAGCCAATTATCAAACTTAAATCAACACATGAGGATCCACACTGGAGAGAAACCATTCACTTGCACTCAGTGTGGGAAGAGTTTTAACTGCTCATCACACCTCAATAAACACATGAGGATCCACACTGGAGAGAAACCTTACACATGCACTCAGTGTGGGAAGAGTTTCAGCCAATTATCAAACTTAAATCAACACATGAGGATCCACACTAGAGAGAACCCATTCACTTGCACTCAGTGTGGGAAGAGTTTCAGCAAACCATCATCCCTTAATATACACATGAGGATCCACACTGGAGAGAAACCATTCACATGCACTTAAGCCGTAGTCACACTGGACTTTTCTCCCCATAGACTTCCATTCCTACGCACGCAAATGCATCAGATCGGAAACACAAGTTTTGCAGTTCACTGCGTGGAAAAGTTCAAGCTTTGTGAACTCTGACCTGTGAAATCACATCACTTGACTGTGTGAGACCAATCGAAGATCAAAACATGACCTCTCTGGACAGATATGTAAAATATGGACCAATCACTCACTTTTTAAAAATGTCTAATCATCTTGTTTAATTCCACCCCTTTTCACAGCACCATACAACAGAATTTTGCATGCTCAAACTCTAGTGTGACCGCAGCTTCGGTGTGGTAAGAGTTTCAGTAACTCCTCAGACCTTAATAAACGCATGAAGACCCACACCGGAGAGAAACCATTCACAGTGTGGGAAAAGTTTCAACCGATTAGCAAACCTTAAAGGGCCATGAAACCCCCTCGGTTTAGCAGGGTGTTTTCACACCTCTACTTTGGAAAAAGACAGAAAAGTGGGCGTGTCCAGCTCTGTTTAGGGGGGAGTGTCGGAGGAAGAAAAGTGGGATGGTGTGGGAGTGTCTATTTGGGCACGCGCAAGTTTCAGAGTCAAAATACACACAAACACACAGGAGAAAGTAATTGTGTTTAACCTACATTGACGTGTAGTCAAATTATTTGCCAAATTATTAAATGTTGGACTTTAACTGCAGTTTGGCTCTTTCATTCAGGGAATTCATTCATGTCCCTCGCGACAAACAAGATATTTGATTCGAGGAACTGCTCTAAGCGTGTATTTTTCATGCAATGTTTGATACCGCACGGCGAATGAGAGAAAAAAAACCTCCGCATTTCCAGGTAACTTAGATGCACATGGCAGGTATCGTCAGAAAGCCGCATGTGTTATTCCGGTCACTAAATGCGGTAAAAACCCTACACGAGGTTAAAGTTTAGTTGTAGTGCTAACATGTCTACACTCGGTGCAATAGTTTGTTCGATACGAACAAACTGAATAAACAAAGAGCACTGCTCGCTCACTTACCAAATCTGTAGAGACAGGACAATCACCAGCAACTAGAGCCGCGTCTTTATTAAGAGGAGACTACAAGCGAATCCGGATCTCAGCGTTTGCAGCTGAGAACAGCTCTCAGGTAAACAATAATCCTCCTTAGACAAGTTATTGTTGTCGATCGTCGCGTACATTGTAATCCACACGTGAGTCTGAGCTCTCACAGAGAGAAAATGAAAACGAAACTTAACTGTAGCAAACTATAAAAGCAACACTTCACGATTGTTTTGCCAACACAACGTGGTGCGTCTGTAAGCACTGAGACAGTAATGAATATTAATGAAGTTGCACAATAGAGCGCGCTGATTGGTTTGAACCAAGCCTTACTCATGCATTAATGCATCACACTGTAAGACGTAATAAGACTCACTCTGGCACAGACGCCCAGTCAGCACGCTGGAATACAACGCTATTATGTCATGGCTGTGACGCAGCTTCAAAAATTCGTTTCAAATCGGAAGTACGAATTTGCTTGAAATAATGCAAAAACAACTAATTTACACTTTTTAGTGAAATATAGGTGTCCTAATAGTGTTTTTAGCAGTGCACATATACGACTGTCAACAGCTCAAAAAATGTGTTTTGGTGTTTTGTGACCCTTTAATGAACACATGAAGATCCACACTGGTGTGAAAGAGTATATGTGCTTTGAGTGTGAGAAGACTTTTATTACAAAATTTAAACTGCACCAGACGATTTACACTAGACAGACCGTACAACTGTGAAAAGAGTTTTAATCAGTTAACAGATTAATCAGATTCACACTGGAGAGAAACTGTACAGATCTGATCAGTGTCTACAGAATTGGACAAAAAGTTGCACACGACATGAATGCAGCAAAACATTTTGTCATGTGCACAGGATGTTTCATGTCTTAATAATGTTTGAAAAGGCTCAGTGATTGTATACTGTTTTCCAACACTCCTACACTGCAGTAGGTGGGGTTGTAAATGTGTTGCGCTCCTCGCGTTTACCATAAACACAATGATGGCGGCTAATAGAATAACAGTTTCATAAACATCTGGCACACAGTTACTCTGCGGCTTAAAATCTCTTTGCAAGTGATTGTACAGGTGCGGATACATCTGTTCTCTACTCTCCAGTGTATTCATGTAGCTAGTGTTGTTTTGGATGATGTTCTCTGTCTGACTCCGTGAATGAGAAACCTCACTGGGAAGACACAGCACATCAAAGAAGGTGGAGCTCCAGGACAGTTAGTTTGCATATACCAGGGCCTCAAGTTTAGAAAGCCCATTCAGTTGTCCTGTGTTGCATCTTTAAGTAGTATCTTTACTTTTAGGTTCAAGATTCTTTCTAGTTTACTACATTTACTTTGAGTAGAATACAAACTTGATGAAAACTTTATGATTTAGGCAGAGTGACAGGCAGAGGTGTGGACTCGAGTCATGTGACTTGGACTCGCGTCATGAATTTGATGACTTTAGACTCGACTTGACAAAATAAAAAAAGACTTGCAACTCGACTTGGACTTGAACATAAATGACTCGGACTTTGACTAGGACTTGCCCCTATTGACTTGTAAAGACTTGCTGCTTCCCATGAAAAGCCCAACGATAAAAAAAATTATGTTGACATGGACCGCTCTCTCTCTCTCCCCGTTTATGTGTGCGTGTGTGTGTGACAGCATGCGCGCGTGTGTGTGTGAGCATGCGGGCTTTCGGCATGACATCTAATCAAAGCACGGTAGATTGTTTTGATTCGACAGTATCCAACGTGACTACTATGAGGCGCCGGAGTGGACAAAAGTCAAGCGAACGCAGAGAGAATTTGAATTTGAGATCGAGCCAATACTCGCGTGGCAATACTCGGTCTCTCTCTCTCTCACATACAACACACACCTCTCTCTCTCTCTCGTGCATTCAGTCTCTTTGTGTTCGCTTGACTTTTGTTTATGATGGCGTCTCATACCTTTAGTGTTTTTGCTCTCACGGGATCCTCCTGTTAAACTGACCCTTCGCTAAGCCACGCCCAAAAACCGCCACCCACCAATCGCGGCTTACCAATCGTAGCTACGGGCAGGGGCTCTGTCAAGCTTTCGAGCGAGGGAAACAAGCCAAATCGTTGCGCAATTGGATTGTGAAAATCTGACACCCGCTATCCTAAAAGTTTGGACTGGGTGGTGGGATTTTTCCCTTTTCAAAACCAAAGCCCAAGAGGAGAAATGCCAGCGTGGATCAAGCTGTGTGAGGGGCGGTAAAGGAGTTAAGCTAAGTTGGTTTTGTTTTCGATATTCACATTCAGTGATAGGTGGCAATAACTCACACTCCTCTTATCCTAAACAGATCTAAACTGTGTTTCTTATAATAAAAAAAATAAAAATAAAAAAAAAACAAAGCAGGTTATGTTTCCCAGCAGTCTTTTTCTTTTTTTTCAATGATCAATGATTCTAATATTCGGCAAAAATCCATCAGTTTCTTAGGTTATTAGATTATTTTATAATTTCACCTCTCCTGCTGCATGAACTATGCTGTTAAATGTTCAGCGTATGAGGTGGCTAGGCTAACCTTGCTTCAATTTTGAAAAAAATATTTTCTAATCAGTTGCTATTATGTTGTGAATATACCCCTGTAATGTATACTGCAGTCCTCTTTTGTCTGGCTTTCTCAGATATCTCACCTGTTTGCCAAAAATGACTAATTAAATCCTTGGGAATGTCTGACACCAGCGCATACACACTGTAATAGATGTGCCAGGCATGAAAGCTTGAAAGGCGTAGCAACAGTAACTAAGGAGGGCGAGGCTTAGCGAAGGGTTATTCCAAGAATGTTGATATGGTTTCTTTCTTGCTTTACTATTTATTAACAATACACAAAAAACTAAAAGGTTAAGGTAAATTCTTTAATAAATTCTAGTGTTTTTGAGTATTATACTTGTTGTATACTTGTATTATACTTATGTTTTAGGCTAGTATTATTTACGACTTGTTAATGAATGCTTCATAATACAGTAGTATTAACAATAGTGAACAGATAAAATAAAATACAAAGTGTAGTTTTACTACAGTAAAGTGTAGTGATTTGTAGTATAAAATACCCTATATTGTAAAATAATACAGCACTGGGTAATTTGTTTATATTACACTTGTGTTACCATAGCAACTATAGTATTACCACAACTGATCAATTGAAGTTCTTTACTGTAGTAGGCTACTGTTCAAAACACAGTACATGCCAATATGCATGTTCAGGGGCCCTGTGGAACAGCTTTCCTCAAAATGAAGAGGATGACATGGAAAATGTCCTCCACAATCTCATCAGCAAAATGGAAGCCAGCAGACACTAGTTTACTTTATTTTAGCTGCCATAATAAAATGAGATTGATAGTGAGATTTATTTGAAGAGTGAATAGTACAGTAGGCTACAGAGGTGGGACCAAGTCATTGTTCGGCAAGTCACAAGTAAGTCTCAATTCATTGCCCTCAAGTCCCGAGTCAAGACAGGCAAGTCCTGAGTCAAGTCCCGAGTCAAAGGCAACAAGTCTCAAGTCAAGTCCAAAGTCCTGCAGTTTGATTTTCGAGTCTTTTCGAGTCTTTTTAACAGAAAAATAAAATATATACAGATTAGGTATGGTTGTAAGATCTGTATTAATTAAACAAACCTTTTTTGATGAAAGAACATTGCTCAGATATATAAAAATACAAATGCAATTTTCTGAAAAAGTACTGAACAGTGCTGCGTCTCGTCTCCACAGCATAATGCACAAGAATGAGTTCCACCAAAAAAAGAATCCATTTTGCCTCACATCACACAGAAATTGCAGGTCTACTGCTGTCTAATTCATTAAGTTTAGTTGTGCTATGTTATGTCTTCAGTGATCAACTTGTGATTAACCAAAATTACATAACCTCAATGTGGTAGCAGTAGACCAACTCCTGTATATGCTGCAAAGTTAAATTGAGTGAAATTGGAATTTTGTCAATTGAATCTCGTGTGTGCTAAAGAGATGGAGTTGCAAATCCGTCTAGCAGCAATGTAAAATGGTAGCACATATTGTTAATGAAGTAGGCTACTTTATACAAACAATAACGTTGTTTTCTTCACATAACGTTGAAGAGCTTTGCTCTCTACCTTGTGTGATGCTCGTGCACGGATTTCCTCTGTTTGTGGACAAAACTGATTGCGACTTCTCAAATATACGCTGCTCACGCGCAAATTTTCTCTCGCTCTCAAATATGCACTGCTCACACACAAATTTTCTTGAGCGCTCTCAGAGATTATATGCAGACTCACAATTTGTGTCGTGTTCCCTCTTCCTTTCATGCTTTTTGATATGATTCATATTGCTGCACTGTTTAATAACAATACCCAAAATACTAAAATAGACTTACATATTAAATGTTTAATCTAATAAACCATAACATTTTTGGTTGTTTTATATGATGAGATATTTTCAGTTTCAAACACTTAAAGACAGAGAATAGACCAGTGGTGCCCCCTTGAAAATTTGCTTAGGGGTGGCCAGAAGAGGCCAGCTACGTCAGTGGCACCAATCAATCCACAATAATTTAGTGGCTGCTATTTATTTATTGAAATATTGCATTGTATTGCATTTATGTAAGTAGATTTAAATAAATAATGTCAACAGCAAAATCATATCGGGGTGGCTAGAGTTTACACAGGGGAAACACCCCTTGTAAAGGGGTTTACACCACTATAAGGCACCCCTGGAATAGATGTTGGATGTAAAGAATACATTTTATTTTAAAAGCATTTAAACAAAAACTAATGCAAGCGGAAATGTAACTGTGATAAAATAAGGAAACACTTGATAAGGTATTATAGCCTACTGTATTATTCACTCTTCAAATAAATCTCACTATCAATCTCATTTTATCATGGCAGCTAAAATAAAGTAAACTAGTGTCTGCTGGCTTCCACTTTGCTGATGAGATTGTGGAGGACATTTTCCATGTCATCCTCTTCATTTTGAGGAAAGCTGTTCCACAGGGCCCCTGAACACGTATATTGGCATGTACTGTGTTTTGAACAGTAGCCTACTACGGTAAAGAACTTCAATTGATCAGTTGTGGTAATACTATAGTTGCTATGGTAACACAAGTGTAATATAAACAAATTACCCAGTGCTGTATTATTTTACAATATAGGGTATTTTATACTACAAATCACTACACTTTACTGTAGTAAAACTACACTTTGTATTTTATCTGTTCACTATTGTTAATACTACTATAATAAGTATAATACAAGTATACAACAAGTATAATACTCAAAAACACTAGAATTTATTAAAGAAATTACCTTAACCTTTTAGTTTTTTGAGTATTGTAAATATATAGTAAAGCAAGAAAGAAACCATATCAACATTCTTGGAATAACCCTTCGCTAAACCTCGCCCTCCTTAGTTACTGTTGCTACGCCTGTCAAGCTTTCATGCCTGGCACATCTATTACAGTGTGTTTGCGCTGGTGTCAGACATTCCCAAGGATTTATTAGTCATTTTTGACAAACAGGTGAGATATCTGAGAAAGCCAGACAAAAGAGGACTGCAGTATACATTACAGGGGTATATTCACAACATAATAGCAACTGATTAGAAAATAATTTTATCAAAATTGAAGCAAGGTTAGCCTAGCCACCTCATACGCTGAACATTCAACAGCATAGTTCATGCACAGCAGGAGAGGTGAAATTATAAAATAATCTAATAACCTAAGAAACTGATAGATTTGTGCCGAATATTAGCATCATTGACCCATAACAGTGTACAGTACCTATTACTGTCAGCATGTTTGTGTGCTCTTTATCCAGTTTTTATTCAAATTTGCAGTTAAGTGGAAGAAAAAAAATTGAAATGCAAATCAAAGTATAAATAACAGAAGTGAACAAATAGATATTTCCTACCAGCAAATATTAGTGTATGTATTTATATGCGTTACAATGGCGAGGGTTTAAACTAAGCAGTGCTCATAATATCGAGTGGAAAAAAAGAAAAAGACCGCTGGTAAACATAACCTGCTTTTTTTTTTTTTTTTATAAGAACACAGTTTAGATCTGTTTAGGATAAGAGGAGTGTGAGTTATTGCCACCTATCACTGAATGTGAATATCGAAAACAAAACCAACTTAGCTTAACTCCTTTACCGCCCCTCACACAGCTTGATCCACGCTGGCATTTCTCCTCTTGGGCTTTAGGTTTTGAAAAGGGAAAAATCCCACCACCCAGTCCAAACTTTTAGGATAGCGGGTGTCAGATTTGCACAATCCAATAATTGCGCAACGATTTGGCTTGTTTCCCTCGCTCGAAAGCTTGACAGAGCCCCTGTCCGTAGCCACGATTGGTAAGCCGCGATTGGTGGGTGGCGGTTTTTGGGCGTGGCTTAGCGAAGGGTCAGTTTAAAAGGAGGATCCCGTGAGAGCAAAAGCACTTAAGGTATGAGACGCCATCGTAAACAAAAGTCAAGCGAACGCAAAGAGACTGAATGCACGAGCGAGAGAGAGAGAGAGAGAGGTGTATGTTGTATGTGTGTGAGAGAGAGAGAGACAGAGTATTGGCACGCGAGTATTGGCTCGATCTCAAATTCAAATTCTCTCTGCGTTCGCTTGACTTTTGTCCACTCCGGCGCCTCATAGTAGTCACGTTGGATACTGTCGAATCAAAACAATCTACCGTGCTTTGATTGGATGTCATGCCGAAAGCGCGCATGCTGTCACACACACACACACACACACGCACACATAAACGGGGAGAGAGAGAGAGCGGTCCATGTCAACATACTTTTTTATCTTTGGGCTTTTCATGGGAAGCAGCAAGTCTTTACAAGTCAATAGGGGCAAGTCCTAGTCAAAGTCCGAGTCATTTATGTTCAAGTCCAAGTCGAGTTGCAAGTCTTTTTATATTTTGTCAAGTCGAGTCTAAAGTCATCAGATTCATGACTCGAGTCTGACTCGAGTCCAAGTCACATGACTCGAGTCCACACCTCTGGTTCAGTCCATATGTGACAGTGACTTGGTTGCCTCCAATGTGTGGTGACCCACTGTCTAATGTTCCTGTGAGTGTTATTGTGTGATTTGTTACTGAGGCAGTGTAGAATAAGTCATTTAGTGTTTGTGTTGTAAATACTACATTTCTTAAAAAATTCTTATGATTTTGTTTAAGGAAAACCTGGCAAGTCATGACATCATTTTACTACCTTCTTGGACGAGCAATCACTGGATGATCTGTGTATGTGTCAATATAATACATAATGTCAAGTAAATAAATAGAAAATATAAAACTCTTCCACTTATTTTAGATATAAAACCTGAAAAGTAAGGATTCAGTTCATGAAATGTAATGTTAAAGTTGCACTGTCATAGATCATGAAGCCAAAAAAAAGGGAGATCTATTGGCTTGATTCCCTCTCTGGACGAGGCTTCAGTGATACACGCTACTTGAGCAGTTACAGGTTTATGAGTGAAAAGTTCAGAGTTCGGGATAATGGTAGTTCTGTTTTAAACCACATATCCCCGTTTTTGTTTATTTTTGTTCACTTTTTTCCTCTTTGTTCAGATTTATCTATCTTTATATGTTCATTGATGTTCTTTTAATCAGTCCCATCTGAATGTCTGACGGACTGTAGGCCCTGTGATGTAAGAGCTTTCAATTTAAATGTTTAATGTTTTGTATGTTTGTTTCTTTTAATATTGTTCTCTACAGAAAACTAGCACAGCATGTATGTTCAGACACATGGGATGAGTACAGTGCTGATGAAATTCCAGTAAGATTCACCCATAAACATTGTTCCTTAACTACTGTTAATGTTTTGTTTTCACTTTATTTTGTCTTTTTTTTTTTTTTTTTTTACTAATTGTTGTTGTTAATGGTGGGGTTCTTTTTGTTTTTTTTGTATTACCAGGGCATTCCCAAACAACACTGCTCAAATAACTGTGGAGTGTTTGTGTTGATGGTAAGTAATAAAAAAAAAAGTTTATTTAAAAACTTATTTAATGTTTGCATATGCTGTTTTGTTGCTTGGAATAATTACAAAACAAATATGCTATTTTAGTATGCAACTGTACATCTGCTCTAATGTGCTGTTTATTTATGTTGTAGTATGCTCTATACATTGTGATGGAGGGGCATTTTGATTTTGATGAGGTAAACTTTGTTTTCTAAGGTTTTTTTTGTTGTTAATATTACTTGGCATTAGTTTATCTGTTCTTTATTTTCCAGTCTGACATGCAAGTGCTAAGACACTGGTGGTGCATAGTTTTGCTGACAAACTACCCCTTGAAGTAAGTTAGGTCTCTTAAATGTAAAATGTTTTCAGTTTATCAGTGAACCTTTAGCCTAGCAATTTTACATAAAACTTAAAAAAAATTTTGAATAAAAAATGCATAACATTTTTACATTAATCTTAGTTTTTTTTTTTTTTTGAACATTTTGAGGTCAGATGCTGAAAGAAAAAGCCTCAGAAAAAGAATGAGAACGCAGAGAGCAGGTATGGTTTACACTGGTATTTTTAATGGTACAATCAACAGAAATATGTTTCTAAATTTTTTTTATTATTGTTCATTTAGAGGCAATCGACCCCGTCCCAGCTGACGATTATCTGACCACGGTATGCCTAGTAGAAACATCTTTAACTCTGAGTTTTATTTTAATATACATATGTTAAGCGGCAATTTGGCGATATTGTCGGCTATTTTTGTACAGATGCCTCCTGAGATCCTGCGGCAAATCCTTTTGAAGGTCATCACAGAGGATGGTGATGTGGCTTTCCTGCGCCTCTCCTTGACGTGCAGGATCTTCAAAGAAATAGTTAGCAATGCTAAATTCAGGGAGCAGGCTCACTACATCTGGCTGGACAGTAAGTTATTTATAAACAAATCTTTATAAATAGTGACTAAGGAAAGTGCTTGGCATATTCCATATTTGTTTCTATTCATCTCTGTCTGTCTGTGTGTACACATGATAAAGAATATAGAGTATGCCAAACACTTTTAACAGTACTGTATTATTAGTAAAACTTTGAATTATGTTTGTGTCTTGCTAAATGTACTTGATTTTTATTCAGGTGTCATCGACTGGAGTAGGTTTTCTGAGGACTACAAAAAAGAGTTCAGAGTGCCATATTCCTTGACTGAATGCCCTGAATGTGGGGACATTTTTAAAGACTGCCCACCTGGGTATGTTGGGGATGGCAGGAAGGGAGTCCTGCGAGGATTTTACTCCACCATCGACTTCCCAGGATACTGCTCAGCAGAGTGCCACTTTAATGCTGGAGGGGAATTCCCCTATGAAAATATTTAATTGTTTTTGTTTATTAAAGACAATCAAAAAACTGCTGTATCTTAAATTATTATTATTTTCTTGGTAACTTGTCAGTCTTACTGCTGTACATCTGTACACACACACACACACACACACACACACACACACACACACACATATATATATTAAGCAGCACTAATCATAGTTCAATCGTGGTATTTGTAGAAAAATTAAATGTGGCCAAAAAACTATTATCACCAGTACTTCTGCAAAAGTAAAACTAGTTAATTTCTGTAAATGTAATCTTTCAGGAATCCTTTTTAAGAAGGAATATTTTTGCAGGAAAAATACTAATGAAATTCACCTAACTGTTTTCTTTATCTATAAAATTCATGATTTGATAATATTTTTAATTAACATTGAGACATTTAGCAGGAATAACCGCTTTTGTGTATTTTATTAACAATAAAACAATTTTCGAGAAGTTGTAATTGCATTTCCTGTTTACTGACACGACGTAGTGGCATAGACGTTATTACGTCTCTAGTAACCAATGAAATTACAGGTGGGCGGGAGTGCATGTGCAGCCCCGCCCCAATCTCCACTAACCAACGAAATTGCTGGTGGGCGGGACTGCATGTGCAGCCCCGCCCCATATGCAGCCCCGCCCCAATCTGCGGGCTGCAGATGGGTGTACTTGGCCATTTGCGCCGTCCGGCCACTCATACTTACCTGGCAGGGGAGATACCATGATCAAGAAGGTGGTTCACCCAGGGCGAGGCTTGGCCATTGCACTCCGGCCACGCTGACCCCTGCGAATTCCCCAAATGTGGGAATCTCGACTGCATAATTTCTGGTAGTGGGGGACTGCGTTCGCGCTCTCCCCTGAGCACAGTGGTTCAAGACAGAGTTCAGGCGGTAGCGTCGGACCCGGCTGGAGCGGTGCTTCCCTCTCTTCCTCGTCCTTTGCCAAGCCTCTTTTGCTCCAGTAGAGCCGCGCGCGCCTGTGGAACCCCTGCCCACCCGTCGCTAGAAGAGTCTGTTCTGACGCCGAAAACTACTCGAAAGGTCCCCCCTCAAAGCGGTCTGACCAGGTGAAGGAACACGCAAAGAGAGCCCCCGGTGGCTTTTGTCCGCCAAGCGAGTGTGCCCTGTGGAATGTCAGAATTTTATTTTTACCGGCCTGCCGCTGTTACTGACGGAACGAATGCAGACCGTGTGAAAGGTCATCATTTTATCTGCCATTAAGTAAGCGAACGCTTCTGCTCGGATCAGAGGTAACTTTGTTTCAAGAACTGCAATCTTTTGCAGACGTCTGTGGCGTTTTGGGCAGAGGGACGGTTCCTAACCAATCTGAACCAGAGGCAATTCCGCAGCCAGCCGTCGGTGGTTTCCCGTCCCAGGAATGTAAGGTGCTTGCAGCGGGAGGTTGTTTCGTTAGCGCTTCCGCTTTCGTCAGTGAAGTTCTTTTGCGGAACGTTTGTAGATCCCGTCGTCTTCTTCAAGCTATGTCGTTTGAGCACTGTGCTGATAGGCTGACGTAAGAAAACAGGACACAAAATATACAAGGCAAGAGTGCAAAGCACGGAGCTCTAGGCAAAGGCGGTCCGAACCGCAGCAAAGCAGGAGGTCGACATGTCCAAATAGACCAAATCAGAAACTAAGCAGAGAAAAACGGCATCTGTAGAGAAAGAAAACAGATGGGGGAAAAGAAAGAAAGAACAGGAGGATCCCCTCCCCTCCCCCCATAGAGGGTCTGTTATCCCCAGATCGAGTGCGTCCAGTGGAATCCATGTGTTGGCAGCCCCAACTGATGACAAAACACAAAGCAAGCATCTGGAGGAAGCTCAAACTCTTCATGCGTTGCCACAGTTACTAGCGAGTGGTTTGCAGGCACAGGCACGTCTGCTGCAAGTACAGCGCCGTCAGGAGACAGGGGTTGCTGGCCCATTCCCCATGCTCGGTGGCTGGGCATCACCGCCCTGGAGTACGGCCGATAGAAAACGGCGGCTGCCATTTGCGCCGCCCGGCAACTCATACTTACCTGGCAGGGGAGATACCATGATCAAGAAGGTGGTTCACCCAGGGCGAGGCTTGGCCATTGCACTCCGGCCACGCTGACCCCTGCGAATGGCGATCGACCTGTACGGCGTGCAAATTTCATTTTAGAAGTGTAGGCAATTACAGCACCTGATTGGTTGATTGGGTTTCAGCAAACCATGAATGAACTGCTTTTGCGAGTGAACAACCCCCTGGTGATGTCGTCAAAACAAATAGTAGTAACTGTCAGGACATGTTGCATATGCTGTGGTGCTTTTGAAATTAAAGCAAACAACCCTAACTGTGCATAAAAGTGAACCATGAAATGATCATTTAATAAGTTTGTTATTAAAATTTAAGTTGCCTTTTAAATTAAATTACTTTTAATGGTTCACTCAAAATCCCCATAAACCTCAACAAATGGAATATATAAATTAATATATGTAATATCAGTTCTATAAATAAAATATTCATATGTAATAGTAGTAATTAAAGGTCAAACTTTTTTATAAATGCATAATGTTTAGTAGAATTATTCTTAAATATGTTTGTATAACAAAAAATGGAAATATTTAGCATCTGTTCTATTATATTATACAGATATACCATCATATTTCTAATAGCAGTAATACAATTACATAAAATAAATAATAATCCCTTACTTTGTTACTGGACAAGTATTTTAATTATAGTAACTAACTACTTTGTAACAAATTACGACAGTTCTATTTTGAGAGTGTAATGTCATAGGATATTTGAATAATGTACTGTTTTTGTATTTGTGTGTTGCAGGTGGAGCTTGATGTTGGAATGTGGTTTAAGGATGAATCCACTGGCATCCCATCTGACGGCAACAGGATAAGCTGTCATCGACTCCAGAGCTGGACTTGGAAAAACACAGAGGAGCAATAGACTTTTCAGAGCGCCTGTACCAGAGGTTACTATTAAAATGGACTGCATATTATTGTCATAGACTTAGATAATGATTCTAAATTAAATTCAAAATCAGAAGATTTAGTCAATTTTTAAAAACCAATGAAGTCCTTCCAACACATACAAAAAGAAACACGAGATTGTATTTTATTATCCAAATTTATTAAAAGTGCAAAAGAAAAGTTCTAAACATATTGTTAGACCTGCCTGACATAAAAATGTATACTATAGATATACTTTGTACATAATAAAAAACACATTACTATTACAATCATTAGTTTTAATATTACGGATAGCAGTTATAGATATAAGAATATATTTGTATACATAAAAAAATACTGCCAGGTCAAGCATTTAGATATAAAAAATAAAAAAAATAAATAAATCCTCTTAAAAAAAAACAAAGCTAACAATTAAAGTATATAAAGCAACATTAGTTATCACAAAGTAATAATTAAAGTACTTTAAATAACATAATTATATATTTTTTATTACTAAAATTTTATAATAAATAAATAATAAATAAAATAATTATATTAAAGTACTTTAAATAACATTATGATAATATATACTTAATAAACATAAATAAATACATACATAAATAAATAAATAAATAAAAACAAGAAAACAATTAAAGAAATACTGTAAACTGTAAAACAATAAACTGTTAATATAACATACATTTCTGGAACAAAACAGTGTTACAACAATCAACAAATTAGTGTAAAACACTGTAAACTTAAACAGTCAAATGTTACTATAAAATTTGTTTCTACAACAATCAACAAATTAGTGCAAACTGTAAAAAAAAGCTTAACTTTTGTAAATTAACAATAAGTTACAATCTACAAATTAGTACAAAACGATGTATACTCTGAAACAGTCAACTGTTAATATTGCGAACATTTGTGCAACAATAAGTGTAAAATACAGTCAACAAATTAGTGCAAACCGTAAAAACCTGTAAACTTTTAAAAAATCAACTGTTATTATAACATATCCATTTTTGCAACAATAACACTGTTACAAGTGAAGAACTATGAACCACAATATGGATAGAGGTCCAGTTAGACAGACTCGGAGGCCTGAGACTGAGAGCCCAAGAGAACGTCCACAGCCCTTTTAAAGTCTTCAAAACAGTCAAACGTCTGCCCAGCAAGGTTTGTGGACGTGGAGGCTTTGGAGCTCTCACAGTAGCTTTTCTTTCTGTATTTCTTGTGGCCTTGAGTTGGTTGGCCACACAGAGCACAGATGTAAACCTTCACTGAGGTTGGATGTCCAGAGCCACTGAGTTCTGCCTTTTTCCTCTTGTAGACTGTTGATCTTGAGGGCAACAGTGGCGGAGTGGATGCCTGCGGCAAGGAAACAGCGGGAGGTGCAGTCAGCGGAGTGTGTGTGTGCCGGAGTCCTGCGGGCATCGAATGGGCCGGCGCAGGAACTGGTTGAGCAAGAGCAGAGGGAGGGACAGGTAAGATTTGCGGGAGCCTTTGCTTCAACTTTCGGGTGCCGGCCAGAGAAGTGGTGATGGGATACTGCACTGCAGGCCGGCTGGTATGGGGTCTTTCCTCTGGAAGCTCCTCAGCGGGGGGCTGGCTGGTGCTGGAGACACTCTGGTGACGACGGAGGACAGACAGACCCTGGTCGGTGACGTTTGTGGCTGACAGTGCCTCCTGCCTCCTGATGAACTCGCTCACGCACTTTGAATTTATTTTCAGGATGGGAATCCCAAGTTTGCTGAGCTGATCATCGTCCACCGTCACTCTCTGCTGCACACGCTGGTACAGTTTAGTGATCTGCTGTTTCAGCGGTGACCCTTTAGCTTTTCCTCCAACACCAGGATGAAGCCACAGCTGTTTGACCAGGCAGTACATCAGCCGGTTCTTTCTGGAGTCCACCAAGTGTGCGGCTGAGTACCGCTTGCTGAACTTGAGCTTCTGCACCAGGGACGCCTCAGTCGGATCTCCACTGGTGCGGCCAAACAGAGCATTGCCCCAGCGTGCAGAGTAGAGGCTGTCGAATTGTTGGATGCTGCGGTCATGGAGGTCAAGCTTGTTCCAGGCGCTGATGACCTTTTGCCTGGTCGACTCATTTAGGGCAAGTTTTCCTTCCTCC